TCTTGGAAGAACCAGCAAGAAACCCAGCGGGACTTTTTTTAAACATATTTAAGTTTACAATAATTTCGTTTGTACAAATTTTAAATGAATTTTAATAGAACCAGCATGGTGGGGATCACCTCATTCCCAGGGATTTATGTATTTCTGTATTCTTTGATATTATAATAACCCTTTCTGTACAATGTTTCTTTATTAAAACATTTAAACTTGTTTATTGACAAATTTTGTACATTTTCTGGGATTTTGTTATTAAAAGCGTATATGTAGGAGTATAGGTCGGCCATGCTGAATAAGAAGTCAGGGATTAAAAGATAATATTTAGTTTTATTAATTATATATTGTACCACTTTTATAATAAATGATAATAATTAATTTCAAATTAATCCTCCGTGAGCGATTAGGATAAGCTAGCTTGGTACAACCAGTGCACCAAGTCACGCGAGAGCCAAGACTGCCCGCTCCGTTTTTTTTTTTTCGCCCAGAAGCAATTAAAAAGTTCTACCCCGTTAACGCGAGGAGGTGGTGAATGCTTTATGCATACCACGACAACAGGTCAGTCGTGGTTATGTGGGACTCACTGTGACGATCCTAACCTACCACCCTAAGTGTACCCACTAAACACCACCTATGGATCTGGCATTGGCTTATTAGGTCTTTCTGCCGAATCTGAAGCGACCCTCTTTTTCGAAAAGGGGGCGCAGGCGGCTACGAGCCGCTGAGGGGGAGCCTACCAGGAGGCAGTTCGGGTCGGTTGAAAGTCTGTTTGGCGGGTCCGAGAGGGAGTTTCTCGGCCTGCGGACTCGATAGCGAGAGGGGAGTGGGGCTGCATAAGTAGCTGCCTCACGAATGAATTCATTGGAGTGAGACTCTGAGGCTTTGAAGAAGTTCTCAGAGAGTGTTTTTAGAAATTGTTGAATTGTAGGGAGCTCTAAGTCCCGATGGAGGTCGGCGTTACGGACGTACCAGGGTGCGTTCGTAGCTCGACGACAGAAGAGATTTTGAACTATTTAAAGTTCATTAATGACTTTGGGGTCAGCGTGAGCAAATATAGGGTCCGCGTAAGACATGACTGGTCGTATACAGACCTTATAAAGGGTTCGCTTGTTTCGGAGGGACATTTTACTGTGTCGGCCCAGCATACTGTTGAGCCTACTCCGATAAAAGCGTGCGTTGCGAGTTACTCTTTTGACATGGGGCCCAAAGGTGAGCCTCGTGTCAAGGGTGACACCTAAATATTTGGCAGACGTATGCCAGGGGACAGGGATCCCTAGCATACGGATTGGTGGAGTGTTTTTGAGGCAGCGTCGTTTATAATCGAAGTGAACGGCGGAGCTCTTCTCCGGGTTCACATCGATGCGCCATTTTTGGAACCAAGCTCCTAGGTCATTCTTTGACTTTTGAATCTTGTTCCGTATGAAAGATAGCGAGATACCTTTACAATAGAGGGAATTGTCGTCTGCGAAGAGGGAGAGCTGAACACCTTTCGACGGGATGAGAATGTCGTTGGTGAACAGGGTATACAGGAGAGGAGCAAGTACTGATCCCTGAGGGACACCAGCTTTGATGGGGCGCTGAGAGGAGAGCGTTCCTTCGTGTCTAAAACGAAAGGTAAGATCCTTCAGATCAGAGGCCACGAGACGTACAAGACCATCGGCGAGACCTATTTTGTATAATTTGTAGATAAGGCCTTCGTGGCAGACTATCAAATACTTTAGCAATGGCGAAAAAAATCACGATGGTCTTATGACGACGAGTATAAAAACCGCTGAGGATATATTCCACAATACGTTGAACTTGTTGGGTACAAGAATGTTTCGCTCGAAAACCAATTTGGAGAGGATAACAAGAGGGTCACCGTCTGTGGGAAACAGATGGAGCCTCATGCGAGTGAGGATGACCCTTTCGAAGAGCTTGCCCATGGCCTTGAGGAAGCTGATAGGGCGATGACTGGAGGGGAGGTTGAGAAGCTTTCCTAGCTTTGAAATACCAATGACCGTTGCCTCTTTCCACATAGTGCGAAAGTAACTAAGATTGAAGCAGGCGTTGAAGATAATAGCTAAAGGGGTTAACACCTGCTCAGAAAAGTGTTTAAGGGCTTGGTTGGAGATGCCATCCGCGCCCGGAGTCTTTTTGAGCTTAAGTCCTTTGATGAGGGATGAGATCTCATCACTGGACACAGTGATAGGGTCAGAGGTTGTGGGGGATGAGTTCCGACGGCGGACCTCATCCTCCACTGTCTCGATGTGGGAGGAGTCGGTGGGTTGAGAGCTAGGAGAGCATTGCACGGCAATGCTGTCTGCAAAGCACTCAGCCTTTTCCTCGTCTTCGAACGCAACCGTACCATCGGGATGGGAAAGAGGGGGAGTGTGGGTGATAGTGTCTATGCGGAGGGCTCTTGCCATCTGATAGTACGCTGTATGAGAGGGAGAGATATTCTCCATGAGCTTACTCTTTTCGAGGTCTCGAAGTTCAGAGAGGCGGAAACGGACTTCCCGTTGAAGATGATTGGCCGTACATTTATATTTTTCTATACAAAAAATTCTAACTCAACAGACAACTAAACACACAATTGAAAACACCATATTAAAATATTATAATTTATGATTTTATTAACATGACATAATTTTACAGTTTTTCCCCATTTTATATAGATTCGTTAGCCGGTAACCCCCAGATACAAAGGACGCTGGTGCACTGACCTCTATATATGGATTGGCTATGCACCACTCTACACCGTGACATAATGAGGCAATTTGATTTTCGCCATTTTTGCGTTGACAGCGGAAGTGAACGTCCACGGAACTAATAATAGAGATAAGACAGTGTGACAAAATATATCGATAAAAATTCTATACCCAGGCCTACCCGTAACGTCCATTCTATTTATGTATCATATTAATAAATAATATAAATAAATGTATAAATTAATACCTAGGCCTTAGACGCAAGCTTTATACCTCATATAAAACCAAGATCGACGCAGCGTTGATCTATGTTTTTATTCGTAACTACAGAACGAATTTTGTTCCGGGTTTCAAACGAGGAACCTACGCATATCTGCTTCGCGGGGGCAAGAACGGATTACGTCGGACTCGCACCTACTTAAACTCCATGGTGTTCCACCTTCGCCACACATTCCACCTCGACTGCAGCGATATAGAGAGAGGACTTTTCTTTAGCAGCAGCCCACTAACACACATCCAAGGACTCTACAAGCCCACTCAGAGTGGCTACCTTCGGCCAGCCCTTCACTTCGATCCAGCCATGTGAGTCAACCTACGTTTACCATGGTTACCATTAAAAAATAAGTAAATACTTAGGTGCACTAAATAAAACAACTCTTTTTCACATATATTTTTATTTTTTTGTAGTAATAGATATCTTCCTAATCACGTTATAATTATTTTTCGCTTACAATTCTTAATTTGGAATGATATTATGTGAAACATTTAGCTTAAAAATAAATAAAAAGACTTGACTTTTTCCTTCTCCTACACATGCAAAAAATAAGGAACATGACAAAGAGTTAAGATGAATATGACTCTTTGGTTTTATTGCATTTTCTATGTTAACCGTACATCTATTTTATATGAAATATAAAAGATAACTGATTTATATGTTCAAAGCATCCATCAACCGAACAGCGTCAAATCTTATTGCCATTATATAACGTCGTAACGCTCAGACGCAATGCTTTACTTACAACTAAGATACGTTTTTATCATTTAAATTGTTATTTGTACATAAAAAATAAAACAATGCCAACAACCATGATAAACTATAATAATTAAGTTATAAATGTAATAATGGACACAAAACAATACAAATATTAATTTATCATAAAACTAGCAGGCATCTTCCTGCTAATAATAAAATGCTTGAACAAAAATGAACAGTATAAAATTTTCGAGTTCATTTTACATATTAATAAAACAATTTAAACAATTATTATTGCGCCAATAAACAAAAATTAGAAGGAAAATATAAAAATACAGACATAAAAATAACAAGTTGAGGAACAAAGTGTGATATAGATAAGTTAAAAAGGAAAATATTTAAAGAAACAAAGTAATAAAGAAGACGATAAGAGCGCAACACAAATAAGTATTAAGTATAAAGTGCCTACTTTTAATTTATTGGCGCAATGAACAGGTACAAATATTCTTCACTAAAATGCAACCAAATGCTGAAATAAATATATTATGTAGAGGCCAGATTTTATTTCGAGAATAGTGAATACTTAAATTAGTGAGTTTAGTCGTTCTGTAGGTTATTTCAATTTTTATCGTTAAATACATTTAAACAATCGAAAGGATAATAAAAATAGAGATAGCTTACAGAACAGACGGTTTTTTAAAATCTATTTGTTTCTACGGTATAATATCATTGGCGAGCAAAACATATTCATATCACCAAAAGCTAATTCTGTTCAGAAAGAGCGAACTTCCATAAAACTATATCTATTTGAAATAATACAACCAAGCTCATAAATTATTCGCCGAGTCTGCATTTATCGATCTAATATCATATTTTAATATAGAGAATTCCAACATGAATACAATAAATATAATATAAGTACTCAAATGCTATTAGGTTCTGAGTACGTGAAGCACAAATGCTATATAATCAACGAATCAATTAACATTTTACATATTATGCATTGATTGGATTATCGACTTTATTACTATTAATACTTTCCAGTTGGGTCCCACATTACAAATACATTGACGCGTAAAATCCGGCAAGAATATCAAAAATCAGGTCATGTTAGAAGTCATAATATCACGTGTGTTTCACCAATTATTTCACTAATCGTTTCGCACGAACTTTCCAGCGTACGCGCGCACGCAATTGCACAGACAGCACTTAACAAAACGTCGCCGCACTTCACAGTTCAAATCTTCGTTTACACGTTTAGTCCTGACGTATGTGCGTACGCATCGGTGCGTCATAACGCGTGCGAGTTAGTCGCGGACGTAACACAACGTGTAAAGTCGATCTCAATATTGGCGGTCGTCGTATATGTAGATGGCCTCACCGGCGGATTCCTTTAGAGGTGGAGGTGGGAAGTCAAGTTCGCCGGGTCGGAAGAGTTTGGAGGCGTTAGGCGCTGGAGAGGCGGGCGCAGGCGAGCTGCCCGGCGAGCCACCGCCGCGACGCTTCACGCCGCTCGGCGAAGCCGTTGCGCGGAACGAGGACCGCCTCGCCAATCTAAAGTTATTTTTTATATAATTAAAAATGACATACGTTAACACAACTACCTAATGTGTAACTAGGTGCTGTGGCCTATGCAACCATTGTTTATCCTCGATCGTTTCATTGCTATCCTCCAGTCATATGCGTAACTACTGAAAACAATTTCCGATTTTCGTCACTCACCATACGAAACGCAGCAGTATACTGCTATCTTTGGTTGGTATTTTGTGATAGCACGGGCCCTTCACCGTTGTGAGTTCACACTATAATACAACAGCAATGTGGCTCTACCACATTCAATGTATGAGTACGTCTGGGTTGATAAGAGCCTTTTACTAATTTCTGCTGTTACTAACTTGCGCAACTTCTATTTTGTTTCATTCCGAAGGGTAAGGGAGTCATAAGGAGCAATAATCACAGGTTGCCTATAGGTATTTCATCTCAGTCCCACGCGGTGGCAGCTCACATGTGGTACTTCTATGGTTAAAGTTGGTTGCAACTGTTCATGGGTGCCAGTAGCCACTTACCATCAGATGGATTGTTGGCCCGTTTGTCAAAAAATTAAACTTTAAATAATTAAAAATAACAAAGTATCTTCCCAATAGCTTTTCAAGTCGGTGCTAAGACAGTGTATAGAAGAACTTAAAGTGGTCTTTTACTTTTTTCATTAAAAGTTTAATCTTTTTATTAAACAATGTTCTGTAACAAACGTACCTTGACGCCATTTCCTCTGGCGTCTCCTCGATCTCGAGCACCCAGCTGACGGAGTCATGTTTCTCGACGACGCCCTTGACGGCGGGCAGCGGCGGCGTGTCGGGCGCGGGCGAGGCGGCTGGCGACGGCGGCGAGTCCGGCGCCGGCGACGTTGAACGCGCCGACTCGCCCGAAGAGCTGCGCGCACGCATCGGCGTACGCTCGATGTACCCGCCGCCCGCTAGCAACGACACCACCTGCGAAGTCGTCGCGCAAATTTAGTCTTATTCATGAAAATCTCAAGAAACGTTTTAACCCTTTTCACATTTATTTTTTGATGAAATATTATCATTAATTTTTGAAAATAAATTTTATTCTTTTATTAGTCTAAATAATCTTTAACGTTTTACTCGCGTTACGCTTCACTGTTTTCTATTTTTAATTTAAACAATAAGAATTAAATGTAAACAAATTTATTAGTGGTATTTATTATTTTACGTGGTAGAGCCATGCTGCAGCTATATTACTGGTATAGTTGTATCACGAATGGGTCGGCTTGGCCGGAATAAATAAATATTCCAATTTTTTATTTTATCTTCAGGTGACAATTTTTCTGAAGTAAGCATTATATTCATAAATATAACAAACTAAAACAATATGCAGAGCAGGATTCCGAGGAGCCCGCAGGGTTATCTAATATTTATTACTACAATTCGGGATGAAATTTATAATTGCGGATCTTTCTCACAATATCTTAGAAGGTATGCTTTGCTTGGTTTATGCTAATATTAAATTTATAAACAATTTACTTTTTTTTCTTGCGTTAATGTTATCAATTATTTTTAGATTGTACTAAAATCACCTAGAAGGTGGCTGTAGAATTTGAGGAGCAGGAAAATTTCAAACCCAATTGGGATTTCTGACTACTGTCAGAACACGTTCTAAAATCATACAAAGAAAAATAAAGAAAACTATTTTTGGTTTTGATTCCAAATTATTTCGCAAGTAAAATTATTTTTAATAGTGGTCATCCAGTGGTCAAAATTTGGCCGTAAGTCACTTAATTTTAAGTTTGTAGTACCTAAGCTGTATTGCACTTTTAACTTTCAGTACAATATGTATTATTTATGCTTTCAACTGCAAATTAATATATAAAACACTCTCTCAATATCTTAACTATCTAATATATAAAATATAAAATAAACATACACTTCACCGTCTATTGCAAAAGGAATATTAAAAATTTCACAAAATTCACAGCTTATTCAGCCAATCTATCAGCGACAGTCTCTACTCTGTGCGATTGTTTGACCATAGGCTATTAAGTGTATGACAATTGACATTTGTAGTATTGACGTGAACTATGTTTTTATTATGTAGGTATTTGTAACTGTATATTATTATAAATGAATTTTAGTTTTTTGTACTTTTTCTCCTCATACATTTTAACTAAGACAAATCTCACACTCCTGCGGGCGTGCAATATTCTTTAAAAGCTTTTTCTTCGCGTATTTATATTTTTCAAAAACCCTCTCAGAAGTAAGAGGAGACCTGTGGCCAACAGTGGGACGTATATAGGCTGTAACTTTATTTTACTTTTTTTAATACCTTTCACCTTCCATTCCATTCTACCAATACCTTTTATACTCAATAAACCAACAAGGCTGTGCCTAAGATGTCAATTAATTCAAAATTAATGTCCCTCACCTGTGACTTCTGACGCAGCTTGTATCTGAGCTCCTCGTTGAGCGCGGCGAGCCTGGTCGCATGGTCGCGGTCGCGCGCGGCCACGTCGCGCAGGCGGCGGTTATCGTCGCGCAGACGGTCCACGTCGCGCTGGCGCGCCGCGGCGCGCTCGCGCAGCTCCTCGGCCGCGTGCCGCGCGGACCGCGCCTCGCGCTCGGCCGCCGCGCGCCGCTCGCGCTCCGCACACAGCTCCGAGCGCGCGTCACGCAGCGACGCCATCTCCGCTTGCTTCAGCTCGATCACGGCCCGCAGGGATCGCACCTAGAGAGCGTATTGTTTTTATATCCTGCGTGGTAGGACTCATTTTCAGTCTATGAGTACAAGTATAATAAGAAAAATTGCATGCTGTAAGGCATTCCAACTTAGTCCTCAGAGGTGACAACGAATCTGTTGTCTTCTTTATTTGAAGTTGGTTGCAGGTATCCATGGGCTGAAGTAGCCACTTACCATCAGGTGGACTCTAAACTCTTGTCACTTCTATTTTATTTTTAAAAAATAAGTCCGAATTCGTACAATATCTGAAGTTTAAACACAAACTCCACGATGTGGAAACTTAAGTCATACTACTTACACAAATTTTGACATAGTGAAGTTTGAGTTAAATCTCGATATTGCATACCGGCCATAGTATATCTTTATGCAATATCTAGTTGTGAAAAGAGGTGGGTGTTTGCACTGAAGAATGGAGTTATGAAGCTGGGTGCAGCGAAGTGGAATGGACCTGAGCCAAGCAGTGGGTCGGCGGCGGCGGCGGCGGCAAAACACCTCACCCCGCGTTTTCACATTTTGATAGAATACTTTTCTCATTCCGATTCAGTCAGAGCGGAATCGAAAAGACCTACTAACAACCTCGACTTAATATTACCTCAGCCGCTAGCTCATTAGCGTCCGTGCTCAATTCCTCATTCGCGTTCAATCGTAGCTCACACTCCTCCGCATCACAGCACACAGGATCGCAGGCCGCATCGCACATGTCGCACAGCCGCTCGAAGCGCTCGCTCGCCTCGCCTCGCTCCACCTGTGCGCGCGCCTCGCCACGCTCTAACTCAGCTCGCGTCGCTTCCAGCTGAGCGCGTAATGTACGCTCGATCTCGCTGTGTGCGTGAAGTCGCGCCCTGCTTTCTGCGACTTCATGTTTTAGGGAATCGATTGTATCCTAGAAAAAAATCATAATATCGATAAATACTGCGCTTTAATACCCTCTTATAAGCTAAAGGATCTCATGACATGCAATGGATAGATACAGATGACGTAATTGTTATTAGAATTTAATTCCAATTCCCTTCCCCCCCCCCCCCCCTGTAACATGGTAGCGGAGTTAAATAACACTCTACCCTAGGAGGGTACCAGCACCCCCGATGATGGAGAATCTCTCACTGACCATCCACGCCCAAGCTACTTTTCCAGAGCGTGGGTGTTCAGGCTGCCCGGCGTATTATGTGGGGGAGGGGGCGAAATCCCGCTTGAGTCTAAGCCTGCTCGGAGCAAACGGAGCAATAAGTCAAAGGCGCCTGCAACGCTATCCGTGAATTTGTGCAACATTATGGGACTTCATTCAAACAATCTGGAAATAGCGAAGCCGGCCTTGCTCTTTCTAACTGAGACCCAGATGTCCTCTCCGGCTGATACTTCGTATCTCTCCTATTCAGGGTGCAAATTAGAACACTCCTTTGCTGACGCCTCGGCAGCCTTGAAGGTACGGACCTGTCCATCTTATGGCTGCTCGTTGAGAGCGACGATCATCCCCGCGTCTACGGGTGCTATAGGTACCATAGCGGCAATGCCGACACAGACCGACTCATCGACCACGTCCAAATAGCTGCAGACTCCATGCTACAACAGGTCTTATTCGCAGAGATCGTGGTGCTTGGTGATTTTAACGCCCACCACGCTGAATGGCTTGGTTCTCGTTTAAACGATCATGCGGGTAGATTTGTTTATGACTGCTTTGGCATATGGTCTAACACAACTGGTTACCTCGCCTACGCGGATCCCAGATGTGGAAGATCATGTACCTTCCCTGTTGGACCTTCTGCTGAACTCTCATCCGGACGGATATCAGGTCTCCGTCGATGCCCCTCTTGGCTCCTAGGACCATTGTCTAATCCGGAGTACAGTGCCACTCACGCTCTCATCGCGGTTGTGTTCTGCAGGTTGCCGCCGTGTCTGGCATTATAGGTCAGCCGATTGGGACGGGATACGATCTTTTTTGCATCCTACCCTTGGAGGCGGGTTTGCTTCTCGCCGGGTAATCCCAGCGTTGTTGCTGATTCTGTCGCTGATGGGGTGCTACAGAAAATGGAAAATTTTATTCCATTGTCTGTGGTACCTATCGGAAGCAGAACCCAGCCATGGTTTAGTCGCTCCTGCAAAATTGCATTACGCCATAAGCAAGAGTGTTACCAGGCCTGGGCTCACGCATTGACGTCTCGGGATGCAAATACCAGCACTCTTAAAAAGAAGTATAATTCCGCCTCCAGGTCCTTCAAGAGTGTCATTGTCAAGGTAAAGTCAGAGCACATCGACAGAGTTGGCGAGAAACTAGTTCATCTTCCTTCGGGAACACGTGCATTCTGGTCTCTCACCAAGGCTGTCCAAGGGAACTTCTGTCGGCCATCTCTCCGATCTTTGCACAGGGAGGACGACTCACTGGCCCATGCCGCAAAGGACAAAACCGATCTGTTGGGCTCTCTTTTAGCTCCCAACTCGACTCTAGACGACGGGGGAACATACCGCCGACCATCCCACGGTGTGAGTGCTCCATGCAGGATGAGCTGTTTATCCAACGCTTGGTACGCAGAGCAATCCTCTCCCTGGACGTCAACAAGCCGAGTGGGCCTAATGATGCCCCTACTATTGTGCTGAAGCTCCAGAGTTAGCATCGGTTGTAACTCGTATGTAACTGTACTCCTACTGTCTAGGCGTAGTTCCAAAATCATGGAAGACAGCTTTCGTGCACCCGATCCCTTAAAAAGGTAACCGATCTGATCCGTCCAACTATAAGTTTATCGCCATCACCTCCTTGTTCTCTAAACTAATGGTGTCCATTATTAACAGCCAGCTAATGCGGTACCTTGAGGATCACCAGCTGATCAGTGACCATCAGTACAGTTTTCGCCGCAGTCGCTCGGCTGGTAATCTTCTGCATACTCAATCTTCTCAACTCATAAATGGGCGGAGGCAGTAGAATCCAAGGGGGAGGCTTTGGCCCTTAGTTTGGACATAGCGAAGGCCTTCGATCGGATTTGGCACAAAGCGCTTCGTAGAAAGCTTCCTTCCTATGGGCTTCCTGAGAAATTGTGCAATTAGATCACCAGTTCTCTTGCAGATCGGAACATCAAGGTCGTACACGCACGAGCAACTTTTGTTGTTTAATTTTGTTTGTAATGTTGTTTAACCATTTAAATATATTAATCCTTACTAATTAAGGGGCTCATTTACTTATTTCATAATTTATTTGTATAAAATATAGTGCAAATGTGTGATTTATAATTTTAAGTCATACTTTAAGTCCCTTAATGTCGTTTCTCAAGGCAGCCACCTCCTCCATGTGGGTAGCCTGAAGACGCGCGTTGGCCTCTTCCTTGGAAGACACTTCCATCTCTAGCTCTGAGATCTTGCTCAGGCATTCTGCGACTGGAACACAAATGTACATACATAAAATTATACATAAATGTTTGTTGCACACAAAATATTTTTATTTCAATTAATAATTATAGAATATAATTTTAAAAAAATTAAAAATTTAATATATCACGTTTATTTTATTCCTATATTGTCATCCGATTCTGAGCTATGTTAAAAAATTCAAGTTTCATCGGGAAGTGCTCGAGCACCCGGAGATTCCACCCGGAACAACAGACAAACAAGAAAGTGACTTAATAAAAACGTGGTAAAATTTTATAACAGATTTCATTTTATGACAGAGTAATCTTTATACTTTTTAATTCCACCATAAACAGTTTTTAATCCTTACTAACCCTATTCACTGATAACATATATCCTATCTTAGCCCTCAGAGATGTTACCGCATTCATGTGTAATAAATACAAATTATTACACATATGACGTATTATATGATGAATATTTCTTACACAATGGAGCCTTTTATGTGCCATAAAAATATATGAATGAGAAAGTAGAAGATCTTTTGACAAATTTTAATTTGTTTCATGCAATACCATACAGTGTCATCCCAAGGGTGTCGTAAGAGCCGACAAAGGGAAACAACTAAGGAAATCGGCAGCAGCGCCTTCCTCATAACGACAAAAAATGAAAAACTGCGTTTGCCAAACCCGCTTTCCAAGCGTGGCAATTATGGCAAATATCCCCCTTATGAGGCAATTTATGGGGGAGACCTATGTTGAGCAGTGGACTGTAATAACTGTAATGGTAACGGTTGATAGAATAAGTATTTTTATATATTAGTAGCTAGTAGTAGGTACTAGTAATTTATACCATTACACAGTAACAGACACGTCGCGCCTTCTGGCGTGAACGTGATGGCTATACCTATAGAGATATCTACCGGAAGCCAATAGATTTTTCTGGCATTTCCCATAGTATCATAAGACATTCAGTGGACAATAGGGGCGATGGATTTTCTTATACCGCCATCACACAGTATACTACACATTAATTTTATCTTTCTTTATAAAAATATATATGTAAAGCTACACATTAGTAAATTAATAAATGCGGCTACACGCTAATAATTACGCTTATACGAACGACACTAGCCTAATTATTAAGACTGCAAACCGTAAACTCAAAAGTCTTACGTGGGCCACTCCTAAAAATCTAAGCTCTAATCTTAACCATTTTAAGCTTACTTGGAGTGGTTAATGGGAATATCAGCTGGTTAACTGGCTAGTATTTCTGTTTTGAAATAAAATAGTTATACTTATAATTGGATTATTAAAGAAATATAAACTATCATAACCATATTGCACTTCTACGATAATATAATTAGCCGTATATCAAGAAAACTCTAATTAATACATCTTATATTTTCTATAAAATCATTTTATATGTGTGACGTGGACGTTCGGATGTTGCTTTTGTATGTGGTCACGATCGATAACTCCCGAAAAAATTGATGTATCGAGACCGGATATATTTTTATTAGCTTCAGAATTGCTTCAACTGGTTTCCTATTTCATATCAATAGCCTAATATGCGTAGTTTGTTAATAAAATGATTTTCCACTTTTATAAGTTTTATTGCTATTGAAATTTAAAGGCGCTGTCATTCGAGTATTTTTACATTACCTGTTAAAATAATAGAACGCTAAATTGAATACAAGTAAATAATATATTTTAAAAGTTAGGAATACAATTTATTTTTTCATCAAAATTAAATGAAACGCTCATGAGGCGAGGCTCTTTTGGGTTTTCCAAACTATTTAGAATTTATAAGCGACTACTGTAAATGTCAATAAGAAATGACTGAAGCACGTGTTCAACAGAGGGATGTTAGTATAATATTTTTACTGTGAAAGTACACTCTTACGGTAAATAAAAAAGCAGCTTTATCATTTAATTTACCTCAGAAATATAGTGTTGCCTATATAAATATAAAAAACAATCCAATTAATCACCTCCTTCTTTTTAAGGGCGGTTAAAACAAAAATAACTAAATTATATTCAATACTTTGTTCTAAAAATATCTAATGATAAATCCGCATTTATTTTTCGAATGTCGCATTTGTCTGCTATCAACGACAACAAGTTAGATGGAAATAGTTTTGGCAGTCGCCTCGTTATATTTGAGACGTCCCATATTTACAGATGGAATACATTTATCGATTTGGGACAGCTTTATTTTATTTTTATCGGCAATAGTTTTGTTCATGCGCAGATTGTTAAATAAGGTAAATTAAATATATAGCTAGATAGCGATCATCTAGCCAATTTCGTTCACAAGAATATTCGTTTATGACCTAAGAATTAAGATAAAACTTAGAGTACATTAGGAGCGTAATCTCTATATTATATAAAAATCAATTGCTGTCCGTTTGTCTCGCTAAAACTCAAAAACGGCTATAGTGATTATGATGAAATTATTTGTATGTGTTTGAATAGGTTCCTAGATGGTTTAAATTCGCATTTTGACCCGGTATTAATTTTAAAAGTGCTATGGATAGCCGTGAATTGTCAAAGTAAGAAAATCCATTACTCCTTCTCGCCCTATGGGTATTGTAAGAGGCGACAATGGGAAATTCTAGAAAATCGTATGACTGCCGAGAGATGGCGTTACACTATTATATCGGTTTACGCTTTATTTTACCCAAACTGGTGATGAGCGGTAATGTCAATTATGCAAGACGTTTGGTACTGCAATTGTAAATCCGCCTACTAAACGAAAACTCCTACAACGATGAAGCCGAAGTCTAACAGACTTAAAAAAAAAAGAATAGACAGAGACAACAAAACATAATCGAACTACCAACCTCGATTAGTATAAAAAATGAAATCGTGAATGCGTCATAGAACAGATACTACTTGTGGGCGAACCATGAGCTTTCATTGTTGTGTGTGGTTTTATTGTAGAAAACATGGTTTAGCTACCTATGGAAAAATATATATGATGTCCGCTGCACGAATGGGTTGACTTGACCGGGGAAGGACAATGCTCGCACGGAATACCAGCGTGAAATAGCAGCATAATATTTTCGTATGGTGCAGAGGGCATGGAATCGCCACGTCGTGGATGGAGAGTTACGAGAACCGGGAAGCCTATTTACTGGTAATGAGGCATTTCATGTAAGACCGCAAGGTTCACAACGTATTGGAATTTAATAGTTAAGGAGAAATGTCTATGGGCAATAGCATTCGCTTCCCTTCAGGTGGACTGTGTGCCAGTTGTCACCTTTACTCTTTTTTTAATTTTAAGACTCGTCGATCGTTTTCCGTTTGTAATGATTAAGAAGACGTTATCTGCAAAGTTTCTATCAATAGGAAGATATCTACCATTAGAGGAACCTCATTTAAAAGTGGTTAAAAACAACATATTTTTTGACTAATAAGTGTTTTTTTTTTAATTTATTTAAAAAAATACAATGCTATTATATATATATATATATATATATATATATATATATATATATATATATATATATATATATATATATTCTAGTCTCGTTAACCACTCCTGTGCTTGTATCAGGAGTAGTCCACGACAGTGGTCGAATGACGAATTCGAACCCATGACATTTTGAATTCAGGGTCCGCAAGTACCATTAGGCTACTGTCAAGTAAAAAAAGGGTATCAATATGTTTCACCAACGATGTTTTAATTTCTTACACGCGTAGGGTAATCAAAAGGTATAATTTTATTTTATTTCCTCCAAACTACTCACTGGTATCGAGATCCTTTTGCGCGCGCTGCTGCCTGTCGCGGTCCGCGCGGGCAGCGCTGCTGCGTTCTGCGGCGGCAACACTGCGCCATCTTTCCGCCTCTAAACGCCAGGAACCGCCGTTTAGTGCGTCCAGCTGGAAAATGTCGAGCAACGATTTATTATTGTCCACATTAAAAAGTACTTATTTTATCCTTTGTCCCATACAGAATTAAGATTTTGAACTAACCATGGGACATTAGCAAAACTGCAACATACTAGTTTTTCTTAGATTTCTGTTTATTGAGTAAGTGAAAAAATTTGCTCTCGGTATATAGTTAGTTTTGAGATAAAACAAAAATGTAAAGTCGAAGCAGATTCGAGGCACAGTAAAGGCGCAACAGCACAGACAGGTTCGTCATACAATACCGTAGAGCAGGAGTTCCCAAACTTTTAAGGTAATGAACACTCACCAAATGCCTTTTATTTTATGGAACCCCACATCAAATGATTACATATCATAGACAGTGCAATTGAAATATTTTAATATTATTTTCGCTATTTACCTACGTATCACAGTAATGAGTTCTTCTCATCACATATTATGCGGCAATTCAAAATAATATTTGTACCAAAGTGTGAAATTATTTAACAAGATAAAATAAATAATTTCGCGAAACCCTGGTGAATTTTCCACGGAAATCACTTTAGGAATATCTGCCCTTGAGTCGTCTTCCCCAGGATTTAAACAATTTCATGCATGCGCGTATTTTTTATCTTAGTTTTCAATAAAATATACTAGCAAATTATAATAACGTAAAGAAAGTTTTACGAACTTATACTCACTCTAAAAACTAAATACTGTACTAAAACTCCCAATGCTTCAACGCCTTTAGCAGCGTGCGCTAACGCTGTGGCATGTTCATGGGGCGGAATAGCTGGCGGAGTGGGCACAGATACGGGAAGCGGGGCGGCGAGCGGAGCAGGTAGCGGGGCGGCCTGCGTGCGGGCAGGCGGCTGCGGCGTTTGTACCCGCTTGCTTCGTGGCCCCACCGCCGCCGTAACTCGCGGCGGCTCTGCAAATAAAGAGAACAATGAGTTCAATTGTTCACAAAATACTTTGTTTATCACAATAGAACAGTGTTAATTATTTCAAGATACGTAATCGTAACATTAGCGAGCTCTAGCGCGTATAGTTGGCAAAAACCTATTCACTTTCTTTTATTCTACCGACTTCAAACTGTAGGAGGTAATTAATTCAATTGTATGTTTTTTTTGTGTGTTACCTCAAGACATTTTTCTGGGTGAACCGATTTCGATGATTCTTTTTTTATTTGAAAGCTGGTGTTTCACATGTGGTCCCATATAAATCTGATGAAGGTCTGACCAATATTTTTTGAGTTATTCTTAATAATTTATATTGAAGACGGTTGTACAATTTTTTTATTTTAAATTATTTACGTTAGATCAACTTTAATAAGATATAGTTTTTTCTTTGCTCCAAGGGCACATAGGGCGCGATCCTAACGTCCAATGGGGGCTCAAAAAATTGAGGCGACAAAGTGAAACAAATCAGACTAAAAATGAAAAACCGCCAAGCGTGCAACTATGGCAAACCCCCCCCCCCCTCTCCTCTATAGGTAATCTATGGGGGAGGCCTATGTTCAGCATTAGATTAACAATAACCATAATAACAGAGTGTATATAATAAGTAGAAGTGAAAAATTAAACAAAGCGCGTTTTATAATCTTTTCCACAAATATACTCATTCAAGATTAAAATTATTAGAATTTATTACTTTGAAGTAAAAGACAGCCTGTCAAAATTCCACTGCCTCATGGGCAGGAGAATTGGTACAGTTGTCACGCTTGGCTGAAAAGTAGACCAAGCGTATATTTTTCCGTAGACTCCTGTTTTAGTTTCCCTCTGCCGCCCCTTACAATGTATCATATAAAAATTACGTGTCACATTGTTTGTTCGCGATGAACTCCTAAACTACTAAACTGATTGCAATGAAATTTTGCACTCTGTGTGCAGTTTGGTGCAACTTGAGAGATAGGATAGTTTTTATCACTATAAGTGACCCTCAATATTTTTTTATCACGAATTTAAGAATTTTTATAGGACACGGGGACGTCGGAGGGCAGAACAAAGTCTGCCTGGCCAGCTAGTGGTATTACGAGTATATGGGGTAGTCTGTTACGTCGCCTCTACACAACTAAAGGAAAATAAGACATTTTGTCAAGTGATATTTTTAATTTAATTGAAAAATCAATGGTGATGATAGTTATCACAGTTTTCATAATTTCCTTTAAAGATATGCGTACAAACAAAATCTTGATTAAGCACGCTTCGTTTGTTTGCAATAAAAAATTGCACAATACAGCGAATCCAAGTTCTCATGACGCGACGAGACACTACAATAAGAATTGTTCTGTTGTAGTAATTTTTGTACGGAACAATAAACAAATCATTGTTTCTCATTGTCCGTTATTATCTAAATGATCGTAACGGCGTAATGAGGTATCGTCAATTCGGTCTGGGCTCTAAATCAATTCCAATTTATGAATGATGGTATGGCATCTACATAAATATTTTGACGATTATATTCCACTAGCCTACTCGTCGCGTGGCTGCCGCGGAAGAAATTATTGTGGAAATATAGTTTTATTGTTTAACTAGCTGTTCCCCGCGACTTCGCTCGCGTGTTAGGGTTTTTATGTTTTTGCGCGGAACCCTAATTCTTTATCTAAAATAAAAGTAGCCTAAGTTACTCCTTATGAAATCAGATACGTGCCAGTGAAAGTCCCGTCAAAATCGGTCCAGCCGTTTCGGAGATTAGCCGGAACAAACAGACAGACAGACAAAAATTTTAAAAATTGTGTTTTTGTTATAAGTACCGTATATACTTTCATATGCAATTAGTAAAAAGCTGTAATTTTGACATTACATACAGACACTTCAATTTTATTTATTTGTATAGATAAGGAATGATGATACATTCATTGAAGTTATTAGATATAGAACTTTCAAATAAGTTTGTCTGTACGATACGCGTGCCTATTGTTGATGTTTTTTTAAATCCGCTCGACCGATTTTGATAAAATTTAAACAGGACCACCTTAGTGTGTGAAAGAATTGTAAAAAGCGCGTGTAGCAACAAACGCAATAGTGCCGGGATAGCGCCACCGGTTATTTTCCTCTATTAATTCAGCACTTAGCCAATGCGTATCAATATACGTTACGTTTTTGATTCCGGAGAAGAAAATGACATTTCATGTGTAGTTTCATTTTGCTATTGAGCTAGCTCAAAGTAAATTGCGTAGTACGCTAAAATTCTAAATTCGCTCCGCAGCGCCACCATTGAAATTTTTAATCAAAATATTAACTGCTGATTTAGCACATACTCAGCGGTGAAAGGAACCGTATGTCTGAGGAATAAATGTATTTCGATGATATGATGTGTATACTTTTGGCAAAGTCAAAGTCAAAACATCTGCACAGTCAAATATTGACTAATAACTACATTTAAACTTATACTGTAAATAATGCAAAATGGAGTTAACACGTTGAATACCTAAATCTTAAAATAAATGGAATGTAACAAATTAAACGTTTAATTCTTCGTATTTAGAAACCGAATTATATTATACCAGCTACTTCATCATCTCAATGTAGTGTAATATAAAACCTTTTTTTTATATAACTGAAGTCAGTACCACCTGATGGTGCTGCAATTCATGGACACCTGCAGCCAAATTTAAAAAAAGAGGTCTACAGATGCGATCTCACCTGTTAGGACTAAGAATTATATCCCTCACCACCTGTACTTATAATGACTGTCCACCCTTCCTACCGTAACACGGCAGTGAATACTCAAACCTCCAATACATGCAAAAATCTATGTTTTTCATACTTCATTTATTTTATTATACATGTAACAAAAATATAAAGGATTTTTTTAGAATCGATATACACTTGGTAGCGCAGAATAATTAGACCCTAAGTAATAATAAGCAATGTGATTGTGACGTATCAAAGTGAAATCCGCTAACCGTACCTACCTGTTATCAATTCATTGACGATACGAACGTTAAGTAAAATTTCACACACTTTTAACCGTAACTAGTACAATTACTATACAATAAAGTACCTACCAGGACCCACACACCCGGTAGGACTACTCTAATATAATTTCACTCTTTATATTAATATACCTTGTAACTTTTATTTTATTTACATTTACAATATATTTTATATAGTTTACAACTGCTGCTGCAATTTAATTTGCAATGAGGGCTAATAATTTTCTGCTAGATGTCGCTAGTTGACACTGAGGTAAAGTTTTTTGTTACACAATGTCATTTAATTGAGAAGTTAGTATTTAATAAAAGTTTCTCAGTTTCTAGAGTATCATATTACTACACAAAACAATGTTTGTGTATTAATATAATACTTTGTTCTTTAATTTTTTTGGACATTTTTAAGTTTTTTTTTTAAATTTCTTAACTTTTATGAATATTTGTGGTTTGGTTTATTTACTTTTAATCTTATTAATACAAAATGTAGCTCTTAGTACAGAAAGAAACCTTAAAATTTACATTTTTCTAACAAATGAACTTCCCCGCTATGAAATCTGTCAAATATTGTACATCACTTTTAAGTGGCGCCGCCCTCGTGGCAGAAAAAGTCGTGGATCATTGCGGTGATTTCAATTGCAAGATACTCGTATATAAGAATATTATAGTGAGTATAATTGTGGAAGTACTCGTCTTAAGCTTTTTTTACTATATACAGCTTATATCCTGTCACAGTGACTCTCAAACTGGCACAGCAATGTAGTTATCAAGAATGTATAATATTAGTCTTAGAATAAGTCTGTACCTACCATTAGGCTTAATCTTAATATAGTAGTACCCTCTACATTCTACCTTTTTTTATAGGAGAGGGCAAACGAGCATGCGGCTCACCTGATGGTAAGTGACTACCGCCGCCCATGAACAACTGCAACACCAGGGGAACCAGAGGAATCGCAGATGCGTTGCCGGCCTTTTAAAAAGGAGTAAGCTCTTTTTTGAATAATTAATTTTATTCATTAATTCATTACCACCTATCAAAAGTCCACTGCTGGCATGACACAGGCCTTCCCTATAGATTGTCTCAATACTTGGCATAGTTGCTATGATGGTTGGCTGACGGTTGACAACCGTAATAATATATTTTTTTTATATTTTAGATCAAAATAACAGTTTACTTTAAAGAAAATAATGAATAATAAATTAAACATTTTAAAAAAGATAAAAGACCAAATGAATTAACCTATATTCGGGTAAAATACTCTACTCCATTATACAAACATAATAATACGAGTACTTATTCCATATCCACGAATAATGACATTTTTAAGAAAGGCATTGTAATAATATTCGAAAATTGAAATTAAGCCCTTGACCATTTGACTTATACATTGGAATTCAAAGTTAAGAACCTGAACCTTGCTGGCCCTCAATTTGATTTAAATGCTAAAGTAATACACATAGCTAGCCTTGTTACAGGAAATGTCTACCGATAATATTATCGATAATCAAATAATAATCCGATAATTATGTGATCAGTGATCAATGAGGCCATTCACGATTCACTTTTTCTGCCACCAAAGCGGCGCCACTTAAAAGTGAGGTGTAATATTTGACAGATTTCATAGCTGACAGTTTGTTTGGACAATGTAAAGGTTAATGTATCCTCCTGTACTATTAGTTATATTTTATATTAATGAGATTAGAACAATTTAAAAAAGTTTAAAATATGCAAAAAATTAAAGAGCAAAGTACTAAGGCTTTGTATAGTTAAACTGAGCCTATAAACTGTAGAAAACTTTTATTTAAAACTAACTTCTCAATTAAATGACATTGTGTAACAAAAACTTTACCTCAGTGTCAACTAGCGACATCTGGTGGACGGAAGATTATTAGTCCTAATTATAATTCATCACTGGATTTCATTTCGATAAAAATACCATATATTTTTTTAAACAAAATAGCTTTTCCCACGCGCTCCATTGCCTGTCCTCGTTGGA